AGGGATGAAAGGAGTTGGGGGTAACATGGTGGAAGGGATTCAGAAGAGAATAACACTTCTGGGTATATGTTTTTCTAAAAAAAATTAAAGACAGGACAGCGGGGAGTAAGGGGGAGGATCAAAATAAGCAAGATGAACTCAACTATATTTCAAATGAGTAATACCATCATGCAAAGAGGGAAAACAACAACAAAACAAATTCTAAGTAACCTATTAACACATTTGATGATCATGTCGTGGGCAGGACAGGCAGGAGTAGAGCTGCATACGCATTCTCAATCCGTTCCCGGATGTTTGGTCTTCGTAGAAGTATGAGGGAAACAATTCTAAAACTATTTTAGAAGTAGAGGTTGAGTATTTCTTATCTGAAATGCTTGGGATCAGGAGTATTTCAGATTTCGACATTTTTTCTAAATTATGGAATATTTGCATATATCTAATGAGGTATCTCGGGGATAAGCCTCAACCAAGTCTAAACACAAAATTCATTTGTTTCATAAATGCCTTATACATACAGCCTGAAGGCAATTTTATTTATTTTTTTCTGAACACTTATCCCCAAGTTCTAATGAAGGTAATTCTATACAATATTTTAAATAACATATGCAACTGGTCACATGGGGTCAGTCAGGTGTGGAACCGTCCATTTGTAGTGTCATGTTGGCACTCGAAAAGTGTCGGATTTTGAAGCATTTTGGATTTTTGGACTTGGGGTGCTCATTCTATATTACAAAATTGAGCAAATGAGTCAATCTATTGATATTATTGGGAGTCAGGTTCTCGCTATGGAAGAAAAGGGATATAAATAAATGGAATGAGAGAAGATAAAGAATTTTGTGGGGACAGACCAGAATTAGAAGCATCACTGTAGCCTAATGATTTCTAAAGTAAGTATGTGTACATGTAGGTACTTATCAGTGGTTTTCAACTGGTGACATTGGCAATGTCTGGAGATAACTTTCTTTGTAGCATCTAGTGGGTAGAAGCCAGAGATGCTGCTAACAACCAACATTATACAAGACAGCCCCCACAACAAAGAATTATTTGGCCCAAAATGTCAATCTTGCCAAGACTGAGAAAACACTTGTATATGTCTCTACCAGGGTGTCGGTATATGTATTCATACATGCATGTATTTTCTACCTCTGTCTCTACTTAAAGGGCTCAGAAGCAAAGACATCCCAGTAATAATGTCCATACCTAGTGCCCATATCTTGGTCTCTAATACATATCATGCGCCACTAAGAACCAAAGCTTGTTGGAGAAAGAGCTGATTCTAGAATTAAGGTAGGATAGGTACATAGTAAACCTGGAACATCTTGTTATTCTAGAAAGTAAGGAAGTAATCCCCCAAAATGATAGAAGCATACAAAAGTATCAACTAAGGGGGCTCTCACGGGCCAAACGAGGGACAATTCAAGTACGAAAACAGTGAGAACAGTGATGCATGATAAACGATGGAAAATACGAGAACTCATGAGTTCACATCAATGATGAAAAGACAGCCGGGCGCGGTGGCTCACATCTGTAATCCCAGCACTTTGGGAGGCCAAGGTGGGCGCATCATCTGAGGTCTGCAGTTCAAGACCAGCCGGGCCAACATGGTGAAACCCTGTCTCTACTAAAAATACAGAAACTAGCTGGGCGCGGTGGCAGGTGCCTGTAATCTCAGCTTCTTGGGAGGCTGAGGCAGGAGAATCGAATAACCCAGGAGGCAGAGGTTGGAGTGAGCCAATATCTCATCACTGCACTCCAGTCTGGGCAACAGAGTGAGACTCCAAAAAAAAAAAAAAAGGAAGGAAGGGAGGGAGGGAGGGAGACAAGTAAATAAAAAGAAAAAGAAAGAAAGAAAAGAAAGGCAAGTAAATAAAGAGAAGAAAAATAAAGTCCCTTGCTTACAGCAAAATGATGAGTGCTGCCTGTAGTGTGGAATGAGTGGTGGTGAAAATCACCACTCTATAAAAACCGCTGTAGTAATGATGGTTCAGGCGAGACTCATCAATAGATGTCAAATCCAGAAGGGAAATACTGACGGAAAACATTAATGTTTGTATGGTCTTAAAAGTACTTCCCACTTACTTGTGGTAAAGAAAACAACAGTAACTACACAGTGGAAAAATCAATCATTTTGGTTGAGGATGAAAATTGAGGGGCAGATGACCATATCTCTCTCTAAATGCAACTGTCTTAAGAAGAATACAAACTACTTACGTAGTATTCTGGCCAAGAATGCATAACCTGAATCTAATCATGAGGAAACACTAGAAAAGTACAATATGAGCACTTTGGGAGGCCAAGGTGGACGGATCACCAGGTCAGGAGCTTGAGACCAGTCTGGCCAACACAGTGAAACCCCGCCTCTCCTAAAAATACAAAAAATAAGCCGGGTGTGGTGGTGGCTGCCTGTAATTCCAGCTACTTGGGAGGCTTAGGCAGAAGAATAGTGTGAACCCAGGAAGCAGAGGTTGCAATGAGCCGAGACTGGACCATTGCACTCCAGCCCAGGAGAGAGTGCGAGACTCTGTCTCAAAAAAAAAAAAAAAAAAAAAAAGGACAATATGAGAAATACGCTATTTTAAAACAAAGACTATTCCTCAAAAACATCAAGGTCAAAAAAAAAAAAAGGACAAGGAAAAGCTGAGGAACTGTTCCAGATTACGTGTGACTGAAGACACATGAGGGCTAAATGCAATGCCTGGTCCTGGACTGGATGATGCACCAGAGTCACAAAGCACCACGAAAGACATTACAGAATCAACTGACCAAACTGGAACACGGCAAGTTAAATTTAACAAAACTGCTAGCTATACTGCGGTTTTATAGAATATCCTTATTCTTGGGAACTACTTACGTTTATTTGTGGGAAAAGGTATTTCTTTGATATATGCAACTTACTCTCAAATGGTTTAAGGAAAACCTATTGTGTACTGCACACGCACACCCCCAACACACAGAGTGCAGACGATAAAGCAAATGGTACAAATGTTAACAATGGGTGTATTTCAAAAAACATTAGTATGCTTTGTGTTAATCTTGCAACTTTATAAATTTGAAATTACTTTCAAATAAAAATTGTTGAAAAGCCACATAAATTTTTTTTTTTATTTTAAAAATGTAGAACATACTCATGCCTGTAATCCCAGCACTTTGGGAAGCCAAAGCGGGTGGATCACAAGGTCAGGAGTCAGAGACCAGCCTGGCCAAGATGGTGAAACCCTGACTCTACTAAAAATACAAAAATTAGCTGGGAGCGGCGGCAGGCGCCTGTAATCCCAGCTACTTGGGAGGCTGAGGCAGCAGAATTGGTTGAACCCTGGAGGCGGAGGTTGCAGTGAGCCAAGATCGCACCACTGCACTCTAGCCTGGGCAACAGAGTAAGACTCCGTCTCAAAAAAAAAAAGAAAAGAAAAAGTAGAACATAAAGCCACATTTTCCCGTTTTGGTTTTTTGTTTTTAAGGCTAGTCAGGTGAAGCAGGAGGAGTGGAAAATCCCCCTATGTTCTTCACCTATAAAAATAGAATGCTGGCCGGGCGCAGTGGCTCACACCTGTAATCCCAGCACTTTGGGAGGCCGAGACGGGCGGATCACGAGGTCAGGAGATCAAGACCATCCTGGCTAACACGGTGAAACCCCGTCTCTACTAACATACAAAAAAAATTAGCCGGGCGAGGTGGCGGGCGCCTGTAGTCCCAGCTACTCGGGAGGCTGAAGCAGGAGAATGGCGTGAACCTGGGAGGCGGGGCTTGCAGTGAGCTGAGATCCGGCCACTGCACTCCAGCCTGGGCGACAGAGCAAGACTCCGTCTCAAAAAAAAAAAAAAAAAAAAGGAATGCTATAAAATACTCTAAAACAGAAGGGGTCAAACCATTGCACACCTCTCTCATTAAAGCATCCGCATTAATTATTTTATTAGCTACCTCATAAAGTTCAAATTCTGTAATGGCCATTGGAAGATAAAAGAAACACAACAAGGCAAAGGAAAGGCATCAGTGATAACAAGAACAAGACAGCTTTCACTTTTCTAAGACATAGATTCCAGACCAAAAAAAAAAGTTTAGAAGAGCTTTGAAGCACCTAACTTCCTATTGAACATAATATTTTAAAAGATAAGCTTCAGGGCAGGGCGCGGTGGCTCATGCCTGTAATCCCAGCACTTTGGGAGGCCAAGGCGGGCGGATCATAAGGTCAGGAGATCAAGACCATCCTGGCTAACACGGTGAAACCCCGTCCCTACTAAAAATATAAAAATTAGTTGGGCATGGTGGCAGGCGTCTGCAGTCCCAGCTACTCGAGAGGCTGAGGCAGGAGAATGGCATGAACCCGAGAGGCAGAGCCTGCAGTGAGCCGAGATGGCGCCACTGCACTCCAGCCTGGGCAACAGAACGAGACTGTCTCAAAAAAACAAACAAAAAAGATACGCTTAGGGTAAAACTTATCCCAACTGACTTGTCTGTTTTGCGTTAAACTTACATACAATCAAGTCACAAGGGTGAATAATGCTGTATCATGGCCGGGCAAAGTGGCTCATGCCTGTAATCCCAGCACTTTGGGAGGCCGAGGTGAGTGGATCACTTGAGGTCAGGAGTTCGAGACCAGTCCAGACAACATGGTAAAACCCCATCTCTACTAAAAATACAAAAATTAGCTGGGCATGGTAGCAGGTTCCTGTAATCCCAGCTACTTGGGAGGCTGAGGCAGGAGAATCGCTTGAACCCAGGAGGCAGAGGTTGAAGTGAGCCGAGATGGTGCCATTGTACTCCAGCCTGGGTGACAAGAGCGAAAAACTCCTTCTCAGAAAAAAATGAATAAATTTTAAAAATAATGCTATATCATAACAAGACTCTGTTTTAAAATCAGACCAAACTGCCTAAACCAATATTGGAACACTAGTAAAAATAGTTTTGATCTTAGAAGAGACCTCCCAAAGCTGTATTTTAATTTACTACTTTCTCTCTCATGAGGGCGATTTTTTTTTAAAGCACAAAACAAAGAAACTTACAGTTCATCTCGTTGTCTCTGGGACAGCACCATCTTGGCTGTAATGTCAAGCTTATCTGATATAGTGGTAATGTCCCTCCTTTGGGAAATCAAAAAGCTTTTTGATCCGTGGACTTATAATTTAAAATATGCCACTGAGTGTCTTCCACACAGGGGAAAATGATTCTTTCACAAATGAATCCAACTGGTAACCAGGAGATATTCAACAAGTAAGATTCATTCCACCTAAGGAGAAAGAGAGAAGAAAAAAAAAAGATTATTTCACTTAAAATTTATTTCTAAATTATTAGTTGTAGTACTCATTTTCAAAGATAAAATTTATTGTGATGTTAGTATAAATATCACATGATGATTTTCTTTTTTTTTTCTTTTTTTTTTTTTTTTTTTTTTTGAGACGGAGTCTCGCTCTGTCGCCCAGGCTGGAGTGCAGTGGCGCGATCTCGGCTCACTACAAGCTCCGCCTCCTGGGTTTACGCCATTCTCCTGCCTCAGCCTCCTGAGTAGCTGGGACTACAGGCGCCCGCCACCGCGCCCGGCTAATTTTTTGTATTTTTTTCAACTTATAGTAAAAGTCAACTAATGTCAAAAACCATACTGTTTTATATCTTTTAAATAATTCAATGAGCCAAAACAGCATTACTTTTAAATTTAACATACATTTACCCAATCCCAATCATGTTAACCTGACAGATACATTTGATTTCAAATATTAACATATAACTCTAAAAGACTGTAATTCTCTCTTAGAGACAAAAAGTAAAATTTCGTATTTACAAAAAAGGTATAAAAGGTAAAACAGATAAGGGTTTCATGAACTGCACAAGCCCAACAGTGCCAACTATAACTGAAGTAACCTTCAATGTTGAATGTTAGTCACCAACAACCTGAGAATGGCCGGTATTTATAACATACACTACTGCTTAGCAATCTTAGGCTTTTTTTTTTTTTTTTGGAGACAGGTTCTCACACAGGTTGGAGTGCGCAGTGCCATGATCACAGCTTATGGCAGCCTTTCCCCTCTGGGCTTAAGCGATCCTCCCACCTCAGCCTCCCAAGCAGCTGGGACTACAGGCACACACCACCATGTCCAGTTAATTTTTAATTTTTTTGTTGTAGAGACAGGTCTCCCTACATTGCTGATCTCAAACTCCTATGTTCATGGGATCCTCCCGCCTCAGCCTCCCAAAGTGCTAGAATCTTATGCTCTCTTAACCAATGCACTGAATTAAGAAACGTATTTGAGATGGTCTTATTTAAAATAGAGGCTACCAAATGATATGAAATCAACATATAATGAAGACCCTGTGGGATAACCAATCTAGAAACCTATCATGGACAGAAGAGTTAAAGGACCATTTCCTGAGTACCTTTCAAATGCCATTGTAGTCACTGCTCCAGACACTGGGAATACAGTAATGAATAAGCCAGTGAAGAAAGAAAAATGAGAGGCGGGTATGGTGGCTCACACATGTAATCCCAGCACTTTGGGAGGTTAAGGCAGGAGGATGACTTGAGCTCAGGAGTTCAAGACCAGCTGGGAAACATAGGAGGCCCCGTTTCTACAGAAAATGTTTAAAATTAGGTAGGTGTGATGGTGCATGCTTACTTCAGAAGCTAAGGCAGGAGGAGTGCTCGCCACCCAGGAGTTCAAGGTTATGGTAGGTAAAATCATGCCACTGCACTCCAGTCAAGGTGACAAAGCGAGACCCAATTTCTTTTAAAGTGGGGGGGGGGGGCGGGGAGCATACCTTCGGGTTTCAAATATGAGCCCTGAGGCCAGGCATGGTGGCTCACGCCTGTAATCCCAGCACTTTGGGAGGCTGAGGCGGGCGGACCACTGAGATCAGGAGTTTGCGACCAGCCTGGCCAACATGGTGAAACCCTGTCTCTACTAAAAATACAAAAATTTGCCAGAAATCGCTTGAACCTGGGAGGCAGAGGTTGCAGTGAGCTGATATCATGCCACTGCACTCCAGCCTGGGCAACAGAGGGAGACTCCGTCTCAAAAACAAACAAACAAAAAACGAACATGAGCCCTGAGTGACAGAGTGACAGCTCACTATGGCAACTGCTATTCCATTAGAGACCCTCATCTGAAGAACAATTCTAGTAAATAAAAGCAGGAATTTATTTTATAATCCTTAATGACTCTTCTGACCTGGAGCCCAGCTAACTACAAATGACAGCCGAAAGCCATCACTATCACTCCATCTAAATTCTGAGAAATATGATTGGTATCACTAAGAAATAGTGGAAGTGGAACCAAACACAACAAACAACCCAGTAAACCATACTTCTTTGGTACTTAATAACTCCCAATTATTCAAGCGTCACTCTTCTTCATATTTTTCTTTTTTGAGATGGGGTCTTATTTTGTTGTCCAGGCTGGCATACAGTGGCAGCACAATCATGGTTCATTGCAGTATCAACCTGCTGGGCTCAGGTATCCCCCAACCTCAGCCTCTTGAGTAGCTAAGACTACAGGCATGTGCCACCAACCCCAGCTAATTTTCTCTGTGTGTGTGTGTGTTTTTGTAGAGGCTGGGTTTTGCCACATTGCCTAGGCTGGTCTCAAATTTCTGAACTCAAGCAATCCTCCTGCCTCGGCCTCCCAAAGTCCTAGGATTACACGCGTGAGTCACCATGCCTGGTCCAATTATATAGAGTGAAAATAAGTTATGGCAAAAATCCCTGCTTTAATCAGAAAAAACTCCCCCCATATGATGTATATTACAGAGTCCAATTTAATTATAAACAGACCTCTGCTAGCCAAAAAAGCAAATCAATGTACAAGAATAATGACAGTGTTGTGCATGGTGGCTCATGCCTGTAATCCCAACACTTCGGGAGGCTGAGGTGGGAGGACTGCTTAAACCCAAGAGTTTGAGACCCGCCTGGGAAACACAGCGAGACCCTGTCTCTACAAGAAGTAAAAAAAAACTGGCCAGGCATGGTGGCACACGCCTGTAGTCAGTCCCAGCTACTCAGGAGGCAGAGGCAGAAAGGCTGCTTGAGCCCAGGAAGTCAAGACTGCAGTGAACCATGATTGTGGCACTGTACTCCAGGCTGGGTGCCAGAGAGAAACTCTGTCTCTTAAGAAATAAAAATAAAAGAATGATGACAGTACTGGCACAGTAGGATTACCTAATAATGATAAAACACATACACAAATCATTAAATACATTGGTGTACTGAACAAACTTATTCATTCAACAAACATATAAAGAACACTTAATTTATAGTACGTGCTAGGTATTGTCTTAAATACCATGTTTAATGGGGAAAAGGACTTGGTCTTTTTTTTTGGAGACAGAGTTTCACTGGTTGCTCAGGCTGGAGTGCAGTGGCACAATCTCAGCTCACTGCAACCTCCACCTCCCAGTTTCAAGTGATTCTCCTGCCTCAGCCTCCTGAGTAGCTGAGATTACAGGCAACCACCACCATGCCTGGCTACTTTTTGTATTTTTAGTAGAGACGGGGTTTCACCATGTTGGCCAGGCTCGTTTCAAACTCTTGACTTGAAGTGATCCACCTGCCTTGGTCTCCCAAAGTGCTTGGGATTACGGGTGTGAGCAACTACGCCCGGCTGGACTTGGTCTTTACATTCAAGAAGTTACAGTCTACTGGAAGAGTCAGCCAAGAGGGCAATTAAAACAGCGTGAATAATGTGACAAGTATTGCCACCTGTGGGCGATGGCACAGGGTGAAGCTCAGCAAGCAAACAGGCCACAAAATAAACTCAGGTCTTTATAATTTATCCCAGGGCCAATGGGGAGCCATTAGATAAGTTTTTTAGAAAAAAATCACTCTCATTTACATAGTGAAGAACAGACCAGAAAGGAAGCTTGCAGTAATGAAGGTGACAGATGACAGAGGTCTATGTTAGGACAACAGGAGTAAATAAAGAGAATGAGATGCATTAAAGTTGTTTACTGGGTAAATCTTACAGGACTAGTGACTCAACGTGGACAGTAAGAAAGGGAGAAAGTCAGTCAAGGAGTCAAGTGATTTCTGGCTTACAACTAAGTTGAGATGGAGCGCGGTGGCTCATGCCTGTAATCTCAGGACTTTGGGAGGCCAAGGTGGGTGGATCACCTGAGGTCAGGAGTTCAAGACCAGTCTGGCCAACATGGCGAAACCACCCCGTCTCTACTAAAAATACAAAAATTAGCTGGGTGTGGTGGTGAGCGCCTGTAATCCCAGCTACTTGAGAGGCTGAGGCAGGAGAATCGCTTGAACCTGGGAGGCGGAGGTTGCAGCTGAGCCGAAATCACGCTCCAGGGTGGGCAACAGAGCGAGACTCTGTCTCAAAAAACAAAAAAACTAAACTAAATTGAACAGGAAAGTAGAATGTGTGAGGGGATGAGGAAAGTATGATTAACTCCATTTTAGATATGTTGATTCTAAGATGCCTGTGAAATTTCCAGTACGAAGCTGTAACAAACAAGTTAGTTCTGAAGAGAACCAACCTATTAAAAAAAAAAAAAAGATTTGGTACTATTTAGACATGTTTACTGAAACCACAGCAGTGGATAAGATTACCCATGGAGATTGTGCAGAGCAACACCTATATTTAAAAGAGCCTACAACTAAGGCTAAAAGTAACAGTTCAAGAGGTAAAAGAAAAAGAGGAGAGAGTATGTCTCAAAAGCCAAGAGAGTATTTCAAGGAAGCAATCAACAGTATCCAAAGCTGTCCAACTATCAAGCTTAAAAGTAAGGTTGGATGGGTCTGTTGTATTCAGCAAGGAGTTCATTGATAACCTTGATGAGAATGGTTTCACGTGGCAGAAATAATATTTAAATGAGGAAAGAGATGAAGCAGCGATGGTACCATAAATAAATATTTTTAAAGTAGATGAAAATATTGAAAAACAGTTTTTCTCTGTTTTTTCCCCCCAGCCAAATTATATACTTAAATCCTAATAATCTAGGTATGACGCCTTACAACTTAAAAAAAAAAAAAGAGAGAAATCCTGGCTGGGCGGGGTAGCTCATGTCTGTAATCCCAGCGCTTTGGGAGGCCCAGGCAGGTGGATCACCTGAGGTCAGGAGTTCGAGATCAGCCTGACCAACATGGCGAAACCCCATCTCTACTGAAAATACAAAAATTAGCCAGTCATGGTAGCAGGCACCTGCAATCCCAGCTACTCGGGAGGCTGAGGGAGGAGAAGTGCTGGAACCTGGGAAGCAGAGGATGCAGTGAGCTGAGACTGCATCACTGCA